GCAATCTCAAGAGGATCTCCTATGATAAAAAGGCCACCGACTATAACAATTCTTATGCCGACTTTGTACAAATGGCCACCCCAGATTTTGAAGAGGTCAAGTCGATGACACTGAATGATCATTTCTGGAATAGTGGCTCAATAACTCATCCGGAGGAGCCTTGGCCAACAGACTCCAATGTGCAGAAGGGGATTGAGGCATATCGTTTAGTGAGCCATTGTCAAGATGAGTTGCGTCGAATTTCGAGGGAGGCTAGACAAGCTGTCAAATGGGCGGTGAAAACTGGCTTGGATTTGGATACTATGATGAACTTTTGAGAGATGGTTAGTACTCTTTTGGATTTCACTGAGTATAAAAAGCTCAAAAGAATCTACTTTTAAATGTATTTCCAGATTTATCTCAAGAGAACGTGGAATATAGGGAAGGCCACAAATTCTTATTCAACCTCTGTGGAAAATATAACATACCCAGATCAGTTATCGAATCCATTTATGGAAATATTTCAAGGAGGCACTGTCGGACTTGGATGGCTTGGAATTCTCATTGCACTGAGCTTATCAATTGGAGTAGGAAGTATTTTGAATCTGAAGAGATCAATCCGCACAATATTCTCCAGGAATGGTCTTCCTTGATTGTCAGTTGTCAATCAATATGGGAAAAGCTGGTTACTGGTGAATCAATATTTACAGAATTTGAAAATCAAGAATAACTGCGTGAGGAGGGACTGTTGTAACAAGAAGAGTTGCAATTCTTGGATGCTCAGCAAGATGAACTTATTGATCTTACCATGAATAATAATGATTAAAAATCTGTTACAAATGATAGAACACTGGAGTTTTTTAATTTTTATACATGATTCTTATAACAACAATCACAATAATATAATAAAAGAAATAAGTGATGAGAAATAAAGAATAAATACTTGACAGAATAATTGATCTGTTAAATGGGGCTTGGATGTAGAACTTGAGCCCAACAAGCCAACTATTCAGCTCTAAAGATAAAACCAGGCTCATGCTTTGGAATTTTTTTATTTTGTTTATTTATCATGGTTATCGCTGAGTGAGTGTACAGGGTGAGCTGAGTTGAGCTGAGTGAGACCGGTGAGCTGAGTACATGTACAGGGTGAGCTGAGTTGAGCTGAATGAGTCCGATGAGCTGAGTACATGTACAGGGTGAGCTGAGTTGAGTTGAGTGAGTCGGATGAGCTGAGCACTTGTACAGGGTGAGCTGAGTTGAGCTGAGTGAGACTGGTGAGCTAAGTACATGTACAGGGTGAGCTGAGTTGAGCTGAGTGAGTTGGGTGAGCTGAGCACTTGTACAGGGTGAGCTGAGTTGAGCTGAGTGAGTCCGATGAGCTGAGTACATGTACAGGGTGAGCTGAGTTGAGCTGAGTGAGTCCGATGAGCTGAGCACCTGTACAGGGTGAGCTGAGTTGAGCTGAGTAAGACCGAGGAGCTGAGTACATGTACAGGAGGAGCTGAGTTGAGCTGAGTGAGTCGGATGAGCTGAGTACATGTACAGGGTGACCTGAATTTGAGCTGAGAAAGTCCGATGAGCTGCCTACTTGTACAGGGGGAGCTGAGTTGAGCTGAG